CAAAATACTATTTTTTGTACATAGTCACTATTACTTGCTATACCTTTTTGTTTTATTTTTATATTATTATTATTATATTACATTATATTTAAGCCCTTTCAATTTTGGCATTGAGCCCTCAGTTTATTTGATGTTATTTAAGTTTTAATACCGTAGACAAGAAAAACCAAAATGCAAACATTTACCTACGCATTAAATTAAACTGCTCTAAACAGAGGAAAAAAGCACTTTACATGTCAACACTCAGCAAAGGACTGCTTGAGTCACTACTTAAGTTTCTCTCTTTCAAGATCTTTAGGTGACTAGAGTATAAAAACACCATGTGTATCTATATATAAATAATGCGTCTGGGATATTTTTTGATAGCCTTAACCGACAGTGACATAAGAATGGGGTTATAAGTAATGAGGTGAAAAATACTATTGGTCTCAGTTTGAATTACAATTATTATTACTTTTGAGAAAGGCATGAATCCAGCTCTTCTTGCATAATTAAGATGATTGATGATAAAATAGAAATCTTCTCATCAATCATCTTAATTATGCTATTGTCACTGTTATACTAAACAGGAAAAGAGTGGGAAAGTAAAATTATTGGCAATTCTTTCATTGATAATTACCTTCAATACAATAACAAAGGAAAATGGCAATTATGTTGATTATCAGACATGACAAATAGATAACACAATAAAATGTAGACATTAGAAACACTAACAAAGAATAATTGCTGGCAAAGTTTTTTTTTTAATGTCACTGCATATGAACTGTGGTTGGTTATTATATTTTGAGGAGAGTTCTTAATATTCCAAATTTTGTTTCAACCCATACTTTGTGTTTTTGATGTTGTAAGCTTAATGTTTTGGTTGATCCATTCTTCAGCCTTTGTCAAATGTATAATTCATCAGAAAATCAGGGGAAAAAATTATTTCTTCATAAAATGGCAACAGAAAAATGGTTGTTAATGTATAAATTGGATGTACCTCTTTAAATACATTTGCACCAATGGAAAGTTTCACACAGGATTAAAAAATATCCTGTAGATATTTTTTAACACAATCAATTTTGTAACATTTGGTTCAGTGATAACGGATTTGCAATAGTACCCATACAATTTATAAACTTCCTCTTGGTTTTAGGACTGAAACTCTTTGTGGGCCTCTTGCAGCATAAGCACATTTGACTTGGCTTAATTTTAGGGCTTCTAAGATTTCATGGTAGTTTTGCTAGGCATATTCTTTTTTTTACAGCAAAACATTTTCAGTTTTATAGAATACAAAATTCTGGCAAATGATCATCACCCAAGCAATGGAAATATGGTGAAATCTTGTAGATTTTGCTTTATGTTAAGTGTCATGTGACATTCAAATCCATCATATTTTGGGCTGCAAACTCCTTTGCTCATGCAATTTCCTTGATTTGACATTTTCTTTGAAAGTAGGCAGTGTTAATTTTTTGGTTATAATTGACCCCAATATCCAATCTGTCATGTTTGACAAGGTTTTCTCATATACACTGTTCACACAACTTACATGATTCTGCTATATATCAATAAATAGTTTCAGCAGATTTTGACAAAATCTTGTGTTGCAGAGAAAATACTGGACACTTGCAGAAAGTTTAGGGTTTTGGTATCTAGCTAGTAAAATACACAAAACTGGAAAAACTTTCTCACTTGGTTTATTTAGTAGATACAAAAAGGCAAAGTCAATCTTCTGTTTAGTTTTTAGTACCAGTAAAAAGTGAGGAGGTGCAGCATCCTCCACACTTTTTCCTTATAAAGCCATGGATGGTTATTTATTCAGCTGGCAGCTGCTGCTTAACATATACAGCCAGTGTTTTATTATCCATGCTAAATGATGGATGGTAAAAGATACACTGAATGGAAATAGAAAGCTTGGCAAAAAAGAGGAAGAGAATCTATGATGAGAAAGATGATGCATGGAAGGAAAAAGCTATGGACAGGGTGTTTTCACAAGAAACCCAAGAGGTAGCAGATCTGGAATCATGGAGGTGACTTAGGAATGGGTTCTTGGAGTAGGAAGCCAAAGTGATGATCCATGCAGTGTAAGGGCAGGCTCTAAGAACAAATTCTGTCAAGTATTCTATTGATAAAACAGCTCTCTTGTGTAGGTTGTATGGGAAAACTACTGAAAGTGTGCAACACTTGACAAAAGAAGTGCTGACAGGGGATTGAACAATTTTTATGCATCTTTCTGATCTTAAATTTGACCTTGTGTCACATTCTTTGCAATGTGAGCACATGGATAAATCCCTATAGCCAGTGTTCCATAGTCCTGTGTTATATTATCTCCAGGTTTTATTCCTGACATCTGACAGTTCTTGCCAAAACTGAATTAGAAGGATTACTCTTTTATTCGCTAGATATAGACAAGTTGCTACACTCTAAGCCTTAGAATGTAGTAACTTGCCTATATGTAAAATCAAAGGGGTTATGAAAGAAAGAACCATTCCTTTCACAATGGCTGTGGCTAAAACTATTTAAAGCCCAGAGATATTAAAATTTCATTTTAATTATCAATTGAAAAATAGGCTTGTAATTATGCTTCTCTTTACAGTAAAAACTTTGTTATAATTCTTTCAAAAGCTACAATACTGAATTTTGTCAGTTATGTAGGATAACATTTTTTTAACAAAAAAACAACAAAGTCCAATTTCTTTTAACAATTACAGAATAAAACTGACTGAAAATTACACAAAAGGAAAATAGATAAAGTTTGAAAGATGTTAATGTGTCATTAGCTTATTCATGAATTGCCTTCCTCTATTTTAAAAAGAAAGAGACTAAAAAAGCAATTAAATGCTTTTTAATTAAATAATGTTTTATTGGGTTTTGCTTTTGTATTTTACAATTCAGTGCAAATTTTTGGTAACTGTTAGTCCAATTTTGCAAAAAATAATGGCTAAAAATTCTTCAAAGACTTTTGCTTTTAAGTTAATAATATAATCAATAAAAATTTTCTTTTCTTTCTATGTGCTGTGTCCTTTCAGGATGTAGGCGATCATGGTTCTCCACTTCCTGCCATCTATTGCAGCTCTCAACAAGTTCCATCCCTCTGCCACCTCCCCCAGACCACGTTCTCTCATCCATCTACTTAAGCCCGCTAGGTATGTCATATGTTGTTTTCCTTTCTCTCTCTTTCTCTCTATTTAACTTGTGAGTATCAGCTTCTCCAAGCCCACCTTCCTCATTACGTGCCCCAGGAACATCAGCTGCTTCTTCCTGATGTTAAGTATAAGCCTCCTCTTTGTTTGCATCTTAAGACCGCATCGTTGGTTACATGCTCAGTTCATGATATCCTCAGCATCCTTCTGTAGAAACACATCTCCATTGCCTTGAGTCTCTTTTTCATCTTGGAGGAGACGCTGCCATAAAGGAGAACAGATGTCACATAACAGCTCAGTACTATTTTCTTTGTTACCAAAGAAATTCTCCTGTCTTGCAATATTCTGTCCAGCTTTTTGAATGCATCCTTGGCCATCCCAATACATCTATGGATCTCTGTGTTGCACTTACCATCCTCTGTCAAAACACTTCCCAGATATCTAAATTTACGCACCTGCTTGATTTTAGTGTCGTTGACCTGCAAATCGCATTTTGGGCTCATCCTTTTACTGATAACTGTTACTGTCTTCTTGTAGTTTATGCTTAGTCCCTTTTTCTCACTCACTTTCGCTACCTTCTGTAGGAGATTTTATAACTTCTTTTCCATGTCTGCTATCAGTACTGTGTCATCTGTGCATCTTATGTTGTTAAGATTGTGGCCACCAATGTTGAATCCTGGTAGGATTTCCAATTCTCTCAGAATTGCTGCACTGTATAGGTTGAACAGATCTGGTGAGAAGACACATCTTTGCCTTATGCCTCTTTCTATTTTTGTATATTTGCTGAACTCGTTCTCTATGCACATGTATGCCAGTATAGGTTCTTGATTATTATAATATCTTTCCTGAATATATCAAGGTGGCTGAGCAGTTCCAACAGATCCTTGTAGCGTACTTTGTCGAAGGCCTTAATCTATGAAACATTTACACCTTTCAATTTCTCGAGTTTTCATAAAATTAAGGTGTGTGGGGGGGGCAACAGACGTAAAAAAATATTTTTACCCACCAAAACTTTCTAAAATACATTTCTAAAATAATTTCATTGAAATCTAACAATTATTTGATTTTTTGCAAGAATTTCAAATCAATGTATCTTTCACCACGAAAAAGACGCTAAAATTTACTATGCTAATTAATTAAATTAATTAATTTAAATTAGACTTAGAGTTCATTCGCTGATGCAAGAAAAATAATATTTTTAATCAAAATTTCGAATGTTTTAAAAATTAAATTACAAGTGTTTCTTGATTATTTTTTAGTAATTTAAAAAAAAAATTACTAAAATTACTTACTTTTAGTTTAAATCCTTTTTAAAAAAACAATATTTCGTAACACTAACACTACTTTTTTTATTTTCAACTAGAAAAAAAAGTAGAAATTAGGAAGGATGAAGAAGACGCATGGATAATTTTTTTTTTTTTTAAATTTTTGCCTACTTGTTGAATGTCACATGAGACGAGCGTTTAGAATCGTAATTGCTGTTTGCATGTATCCTGTAGTAAAAGGCCTCTTCATTGGAACCTAGTTGGGAGGCACTATAGGAGGGTTCAGTCTGAATTTAAAAACAATCTGGGGGAAAAACGCATGTGCTAAAAATATCTCATTCACCCGAATTGAAACCATTTTCTTTCGCTATTCTCATTAATTTAAATTAAGGCATTGAAACTTAACTAGCGTCACTCATAATGATGCAAAGTTACTATAATAGTGTTACTGATTCTTTTAGTTCTGTTATTGCTAGTAAACACGTGTTGATCATCAATGTGTACACTCTGTATTTATGTGTCCAACTATGCAGACAAGCTGGTAAAGGCTGGCGATGGCTATTTAAGCTTCTAATCATATTCCTGGTCCGATCACACTACCAAAATTACAGTTATGGTACTTTCATCTTCTGTGTCATTCTTGTGTATATCCATAGAAGTCTGCCAAGTTCCTCATCTACCCGTCCACAAAAAAGCGGTGATTATTACAGGTAAGAGAGAGAAAGCGTGTGAGAAAGAGGACATGTCACGTAAGAAAAAAGTTTTTTAATTTATAAGTGAAAAAAAAAACTTTTCTTTTTTTTTTTTCAATGACATTCATGTACTTACATTTCATTTCAAACAACAGTTGTTTAGTTTTAATGGATTTTTTTTAATGGATTAACTAAAAAGTGTTTGTAAATAAAACAACTTGATCGGGCATGGCATGGATATGCACAAAAAATTTAAGCGGCAATATATTTTTTTTTTGAATATTCACCCAAATCTTATTCATATCAAATGTTTAGGCTATAAGACTAAAAAGAAAACAGACAATATTTGACGACATTTTTGGCATTTAAAAAAAAATAAAAAATTAAAAAAGTACTAAAAAATTCATAATTATTAATTAACGGTAAAACCCAAATTTTTTCAAAAATAAGAATAAAAATAAAAAGATAATTTAAATAAAAATTAAAATGAATTTTCTATTTATTTATTTTTGGTGACCTGGCAAAAAAATTATATTTCTTAGTCTTGTGATAAGATTTTTCATTTTGTTAGTTTGTCACAAACAAAAGTTTTTTTTGTGTCTTTGCATTGAGTCGTGATTTAAACATTGTGTCGGTTTTAAAAACCTGCATTTCCATCCCAAGTAAAACAGAAACTGACCTAATTCTTCGAACTTCTTGATTGTTGGAATTTTAAAATAATTTATTTGAAATTGAATTCTCTTGTTTCAGAACGAAAATAATTCATATTTCTCATCAACAGAGAAGTCGGTGTTGGATTATGTTGAAAAAAATTAAAAAAGATTAAATGCCAAAAAAAAAAAAAATGTTGATTTTTTTTTTTATTTAATTTTATTTTATGCAAAATAATAGTTAAGTAATAATACTAATTTTCTGCCATTTGACATAAGCTTTAAGTTTACTTTAACTTTTTAAAGTAAAAGTTTTTAAATTTAATCCAAGTATTTTTCTTTGAAAATCTTTTTTTAACAATCGATTATCGACTCTTTAAATTAAATTTGGAATGTTTGTCTCGCGACAGTAAACAGAAAAAGAAATTAACCAAACCACTGACCGACCCATCGCACTTCTGTTTTTTAAATTGCAAATCAAAGACTGGGTAAGAATTTCTTGAGTCACCAAAAAAAGTAGGTGGAGAAAACATTTGGAATTTCCCCGCGAAGTTTTTGGCTAATTTCTGAGGCTTCTTAACTAAAAATAGATTGGAATGAGGCGATGCTGAGTGGAGAAAGAAGGATCGTCACTTAGAAATGGGACGTAGTTTTTTGCTGCTGTGAAATTTCTTCAAGTCATGAGGAAAAATAAAATACAAAGCTGCGGGCACAGTTTTTATCTGCCCCACACATAAGGGGTGTCTCCACGTTATGTCCAATTTGTGCACTGGATGGATGTCGTAAGAAGACTATGCCACTGATAATATTTTTCTCAGTTTTTCTTTTTTTGCCAATGATATTTTAGTCGATTGTCGCAACTAAACTTAGTACTCACCCCTTTTTTCATATTTTATTTTGTTTATATGTGACGAAAACAGTTGGGGCCATGTTTGACGTCTTGGTAAAAATACGAGGCGCAAACGATTCGGCGGACTGATTTCTGTCCTGCTGATGACGCCTTAACTTTTCACAATAATTTCTTTATTTTATTTCTTTCAATAATGTGAAAAAAAAGTACTTTTATTCATTTTAGAGTTCAGTTTTATGATGAAATAGTTTATTTCTCTGCGTGTCGAAAATATTTGGGACCAAGCTTTTTCTATTCTTGGTAAGAAATCCGATTGCAGAATAAGTTGTAACGAAAACATGATTTAAAAAGCGTTCTATTCCAATTATTAGGACCACTTTTTTTTTCTTTTTTTTTTTTTTAGACAAGTAGTAAAAAGTAGTAACATTTATAACTGTACATCTTTCGAAGATTTTTTTTATCCAATATGGGCTAGTGACCTGACATTATTTTACAAATGATAAAACATGAACAGAATTAATTACAGTGTAACTGTAGACAAAAAAATAAAAATAAAGAATCAGGCAATAAATAAAGAACTAAAATACTTTAAATTTCCTTTTGGTTAAAATTTAATTACAAGCATGAGAATGCAAAGAGTAAGGTGTAGACAATTTTATTTTTATTTGTGCAAAGATTGAAAAAAGTTCCTAAATAGAGAAATAGAAGATAATATCACTGAATTCCGTAAATGACAAAATGGAATATAGACATTACTCAATAATTAATAACAACATATGTGGCACACTGGGATGGAATGATGGCTTAGAAGACTCGTGAAAATGTGAATGATTTTTTTTGAGACTGAAGGAAGAGTCTGGTATTTTATTACCAGCAGTAAAGCCTAAAGCAAGATCTTTAAAGACCCCTTCACCCCAAACACTGTCCAGAAGTAGTAGAAAGGAAATAGCATAAATGAATAATAAAAACTTATTTTTGGTTGTGGGTCTTGGTTCCCCTGTGACTATACACTTGAGGCCTATTCCAGTTTTTGTGCAGACCAATGCATTTATCCTGTCCGTGTAAAGAATGAGAGAAAGCACAGTGTTTAAAGAACTAGAATAGGCAAAAATTCTTTTTAATAATTTATAAATTTGAATATTTTAACTCTTGAATTTTCATACTATTTCTAGATTTGATGAGATTTTGTTGGTGAGAAAGCACTGTGTTTAATTTTGAACAACGTTTCATATATTTCTTGTTATTTCCAAAGGTTATTATTTTACTTTTAGGATGTGACCGAGGCTTTGGACATGCTCTTGCTATCAAACTTGATCAGATGGGCTTCAAAGTGTTTGCTGGTTGCCTATTCAATAAAGGCGATGGTGCTGAAGCTTTAAAAAGAATTTGTTCTGACCAATTACACGTTCTTCAACTTGATGTCCGAGATCCAGAACAAGTTGATGGTGCATATAATGCTGTTGAAGAAAAATTAAATGATTATGGTGAGAATTCCTTGAACAAGATAAAAACTAACAGTTTGAGCATTTGCCAAAAAATATTTACTTTGTAGAAAAGTTGTTATACAAAATGTTTGAAGCAATTCTCATAATATATATGTATATATAAAATGAACAAACAAAAATGTTCAAAATTATCTTCCTGAGATTCATAGAGATGATATCCTCTTATCAGGGGGTTAGATAGTAAGATTGAATCATATATTACTTAAAAGATGTTGAATTTTCTCTAAAAATGATGTTAATATTTGGGATCAAATTATTTAAAACTTATTCTTGCATGATATAATTTGAAATTATGCAGTTGTATGTATCGGAAGAGGCATGGTGGAGTAATGGATGGTCGAGTTCAAATTCCAATCGAATCCATTACATTCACTTATGTGCTAATACTCTTGGGAAAGATATGAATCCTCTTCTTCTCCCCACCCCAACTATGGGTAAATAGCAGGACAGACTGGGTTCTATAACCTTGGATGGCAACTGATCTACCACAGAAAGAATTGGCAACCTACTGCAGGAAAATTCTGCTTTGTCAGATATAATCGCTTAAGCGTGTATCACACATGGCATATAACTAATTGATGTATTAGATCATTTTTATATAATCAAAGTTTTTCTATTATTGGATGGAATGAGTATAAAAATCTATTTAAGTAAATTGTTAATATTAATGAAGGTTTATATTTATAGTTTATTAGATATAATTGACTTTACTAAATATTTATATTATTGTATTATTAAAATCATTGGTCAATTTAATGAAAGTACAATTACAGTTATTTTGGTAAAATAATTTTTATATAACTGAATATAACTAATTTTAAATTTGAAGTTTTTAGTTTCTGTTTTTGAAACATAGTAATTCCTGTGTAGCAATGGAACCATATTTTTAAATTTGTAAATTTATAATATTTATGCTCTGCAAAATTGTATTGAGCACTGTTTTTTTTAAAATAAAAATAATTAATAAGAACACTGGATTATAAATCTTACTGTTCTTTCTCTTTATTTTAATTATATATATATATACACACACAATCTTACATGGTGAGATGACTACCTCTAAAGAAGAAACTGCAAAAATATTTTCTTGTGTTGATTATTAGTTTACTAGTTAACCTGTACTATCAAGATAATAGTTCTCTGCTTGTTAATTCTGCAATACCAGTCCACATGATTCAAAGGAGGGACCTTGCTGAGACCTACACACTTCACTCATTCAAAGCCATTTTTAACCATCAGAGAAAGGACTTCTATAAAGATGACAGTTGAGATATTTCTGAAAGCATTTGGAGAGTATGGAATCAGTGCCCATTTCTTCACATCTCTACATGCATAAATGTAGGGCATAGTCCAGGAAGAGATTAAATAGATTGGGGCTCTCATTTGCTCCTTATTCTACTCTTGATAAAGTTTGGATTGTTTTGGTATTGGTGTCTTTGCCAGATATGCACAACTTTGTGGACTGAGTTCTATCAGATATAAATATTCAGTGGATTCAGAATTTGGAAGACAGTTTCTAATGGATGAGGAAAGAAAATCTTTATTGATGTTATATGTTGCTGTGAGGTCAACATAGTAGATATACAATATTCTATTGAAGAGATAAAAAATTTTCTAGAGTTATTTTGTAACATGTATACCATCTTTACACCCCTTACTAGAATGAAAGCCAAATTGGGTTGTGAAGAGCTGATTTTCATAAAATGGTGACAGCCTAGTTAATATAATGTTCATTAATACTTTCACCATAATAGATCCAATTGAAGAGATACCACTGTGTATGTGTGAAGTTTTGATGATTAACTTTTTGTTTTCATAGTGCGTTAATGTGTCATACATACCACTTTTTTGTGGATGCACTTCCAATTTCATACTACCTTCATGAAATTTAAAAATTTGTTTTTAAGTTTGAGCAGATGATACACTAATTTCAAAATTTCAGCCTCAATGTCAAGTGATGCTTTATTATTCTTCAGCCTTTTTTTTATTGTTTTCTTCTTCATCACTACTTTTCTTATTGTTTATGTTTGGAGACAAACATTGTAATGCGTGGATGTATAATGGTGTATCTTCAGCTTAGTGTAGTCAGAGTTGAAGTGTAACTCATAGCGATTTTTCAGACCAGGCTATCTCTTCTGTTTGGGTTTCAATCCTGATTTTTTGCTTTTCCCCACATTTCATGACAATGTCTATGCTATTTGACTTCATTAATTTAATTTCCAGTTTTTTGAAGGTATTGGTTTCTTCAATTATTAACTAGTTATTTTTATTTTTTTGGTTAATTTAATATTTTTCCTTCCATCCATATTTAAATAATATTATATTTATATTTTTGCACAAGTCATCTAATATTTTTATCTTTATAGTTAAATCTATTGTCATTTATAAGAAAGAATTCTTTTTAAATCATTAAAAGTAAAAATATCGAAAGAAAGCTAACATGAAAGCAAAGAAAGAAAAACAGTATATTAACCTGATCTCTACTTATTAATGAGACATTAGACTATATTGTAAATGTGAGACATTTTTTAATATTGACATTGCATAATACCTTCTGTAGTCATAACAATGGAATGTCTTATCTCAAAGAGATCAGGCTGTGTGAATATTAAATATATAAAAATCACATATTTTAAGGTTTTTTTTTTTTCTAATTTTGAGATAATCAGGTGAGATATTAGATGAACGCCTGGCAAGTGATTGATTTCTACTTTATCATACTAACATTAGATGTTTGAAAAGTCCTTCTTCAACTGTTTAAAAATATTTGCAATTTTTTACTATTCTGTGCTACAAAAGCTCAATGACTCATTTTTATTTTAAATGATAGTTTATCTTCTAAATACATCTTGCCTTAAGCCTTTATCCTTGAGCTTTGAAATGGACTTTATAGCCCGGAGCCTCCTAATTTGTTACTGACGTATATAAGTGAATGTCATTCTAAATTGATTTTATAATATTAAAAAAACAACTAATTTTAACTGTTTTAAAAAAAAAACTTTCACCTTCTAAATAAATTATTGTTAATCAACCTCACCTATTTAAAACATTGTTTTTATTATTTTTGGTAGAGTTGTGGGGTCTTGTGAATAATGCTGGAATCTGTTTCATTGGCAACTCTGAGATGATATCCAGAAATGACTCCCTCAGAATTATGGATGTCAACTTTCGTGGACCCTACTTGATGTGTTCAAAGTTTTTACCTTTGCTCAGAAGAAGTCAAGGTCGAATTGTCAATGTTTCAAGCAATGCTGGCCTTGCTCCAGTTCCATTGATGGCTCTTTACTGTTCTTCAAAATCTGCCTTATTTATGTACACAGAAGTACTTCGTGCTGAGAATGAATGTTTTGGGATCAAGGTATCAAAATTATACCAAGTGGATACAAAACAGGTATGAGAAAGAAAAACTTACTTTCAACTTTTACTATCTCATTTATTTTAACCAAATTTAGTACCTGTCACTTCTCTAACAGCAAGGTGATCAAATTTCACATCTAAATTGTTTGTCCATTTAAAATAGATTTATTAGAAAATAGATTCAGTTTAAATATAGCTAGACATAGATTGAAATAGACACAAATTGACCAATTATAATAGGAACAGTGATAGTAAAAAGATTGTCAGAAAAAAAAAAGCTGAGTTTTAATTCAACAATATACTACATATATGTAAACAAAGTCAGTTTGATGAGCATTAAGCTGTTGATAAGTTTTTTCTTTCTGGTTTCCAACTTTTAATTTTATTTTTTTTTGCTCAATTCAAGGACAGATTGAGTAGGAAGGGAATGTCTTATTTCAAACTTAGTCAAATTATTTCTGTACTTGTGTGCTTATATATTAAACAGCACAAACACATATAAGTTAGTCATATATAAGAGAGACATAACATATATCCAAAGTTATATGCAGTGTGTGACAGACAGAGAATCAACTCAGATTTGAGGAGAGAATTTTAATGTTAAACTGAAATATTACACTTGCTGCAAAGAAAAATTTGTCTTTCATTCAATAAGTGTTATCTTTTTGCAAGAAAAAAAAATACAGGCCAAAAATCAAAGTAAAAAGAAAATTAAAGATTTAAAATGTTAAAAGAAAAATGAACAGACATTTCTGATGTAACACAGCTGTTTGATGGTTCCTATAGCCCCTCTAAACTTAAAGTCAATTTGTGTTTGCTATAATAAAATTTTTCTATCCCAAGTAAAAATCATCACAAAAATGGCAAAAGTCACTTTGTCACAGCTTATTTTCTCTGAAAAAATGAATTTTCATACTTTTATAGGGGTAAAATTTTGAAAAATGACTGTTTAGTCATCATCTGAACAAAATATCAAGGAAATTGATCAGAACCCCATCAAACTAGGTATTTTTAGAAAGCAAACAATATGTTCTTTCATTTTAAAGTAAATTTGGTTGGTGTAAATGACTCAAAAAATTTTTTCAGGGGGTAAAATGTGAAAAAAATGTGAAAATTTTGCATTTTTTTCTAGTTCTAAACAAAAAATTTCCCTAATAATGGAAATTAACTTTTTTTTTTTTTTTTTTTTTTTTTTGAAAATCAGAAAGCCTAAATCATAATCAAACTATTTCAGGCATAAAATTGAGAGTTTGAAGGAAAACAGTATTCCTAGGGGGTCAAAATGCAACAAAGTCCATTGGTAATTTTCAATTATATAGCCGCTAGGGGTTAAAAAAATTGACACCCAGCCACAGAAATCTTTAATAAAAGGCAAAGGATTTATCCACAATTCCTGACCACCGGGAACCAGGAATTTATAGCAGTGATAAGGAAAATTAAACCAAATTGAATTTGAGATGTTTGGGTCAAAGGCCAGCCAGCCAGCCAGCGATAAACATTGAACAAGCTGTCATCAGCTTGTAAATCCCACCACTTACGAGATAAAAGCAAAGAGTGAAAAAAAAGAAGAGGAAATATTGGTAAAAAGGGCTTTATATAGGTTTTTTTTTTGTTCATTTTATTCAATGATGTTCACACCAATTTAAAGAGAAGGGATTGAAGTTTGAAAAAAAATTGTTTTGACGTGAAAAAAAATATTTTTTCATAAAAAAAAAAAGGTGATTTTTCTCAGAAAATTGGCCATAATTTTTTAATGCTAACCTCCAAGTGACATTTTTCACAGCCAAATTGAAGATTAATTACCAGTGAATAGTTCCATGTGCAAACAATAGCCATCTAGATCCTATAACATGGCCTGAAAACATCTAGAAGTTAACTGATTGATGAAAAATTTGTTGCACATAATTGTGTTTTCCATGGTCAGTTTCCATTATTTCATCTTGATGTTGTCATTTTTGGACAGCCAAGTCATCAAAGATTCAGGAAAACAGTTTGGCACAGGTTTGCTTTGAGAACATTGCATTTTATGAGGGGTTTAAAATGTTACTGATGAATGGGATTTTTCACTGAATATTTCATTCAAGTGCCATGTTGGATTTTCCTATAGGACAAAAACAAGTGTTTTAAACAGCTGTTCCATATATGCTACCTGACTGCTAATGTGAAAGAAATTATAAAAAAAAATGAATATCATTCTTGACTGTCTTCTTAATCATTACCAAAGTTCAGAGTGTGATTTTGCATAATGTGAAGGAAATTTTAGAAGTGTATTTGAATTTTACTTAAATCTTTATTACACATGCACTCAATTGTTCTGAAACTAGGAAAATGGTTTTCCGATGAATTTATGGAAAGGGGGACATTGATTAATTGGTGTTTAATCAGTTTGTCTTTCTCTTCTTGCTAGGAAAAAGTCATTTTTTAAGATAGATTTATTATGGGAAATCAAAATAAAGAAAATTATAGTTAAATTCAAGATAACCTTCAATATTTTTACCCAAATCAAAGAAAGAATATATTACTTACCTGACAGGTGGCATAACATCATAAAAAACCTTGATGACTGAATCATGATGCAATGAATTTATATAAATAAGAGTTTGACAAAAAAAAAATTTTTTTTCAAAAGTAAATATCTCATATCTGTCTATATTTCTAAGATGAGGTATTGTAACTAATCCAGTGACTTACCCCAAAGAATTGTGAGTTCAACACATGGCCACAGCAGAGATGAACAAAAACTTGCAGATTTGAGTTACTAAAGAAAATAAGAAACTGAGATGTCTGGAAGAGGCATGGTGTGTAGAACTAGACCAATCTACCCTGGTGGATGAAATAAAGGTTTCAGTTTGAAATTCTAATCACTTGAAAAAGCCTGGAGTGAGCAATGGCTGAAATATTGTGAATATGACAACAAAGATGAGGATAACAGTCCATAAATAAATCTCTCATGTAGCGGGAAATTTTATTTAGGTAGCTATTTTATTCTTGATGGTAGGCTGAAAAAAATTTTTAATTTTAAAAAGGTAATGTTAAAAGTCTTAAAAGAATACACTTTCAGATGATAAGTATAAAAATTTCTTTATATATTTTTAAAGATAAATTCAACATTTGATCAATTGCAGCCACTAAGGCACTGAGACATTGGTTTTAGAAATAAGGGTAATATTTGCAACAAGCATACATAACTCCTATGTGATGCTGGTTGAATGAATATTTGTAGAATATTTGTGTTATTCTTTTTCTATTATGTACAATGGTATGGCAATCATAGCTTTTTAGAACTTTCTGTCCTTTGCAGCTATAAGTAATTTGGACATAGTCTTTACTATCCCCCTTTTGTCTCCATTCTGCCATCCATTCACACAAGATTAAATGGGTCTGATGGCTGGGCTTGAGATAGTCCTTCATAGAAATAGCCAACATAACTTGGAAGATAACAGCAGAAAGTGGAGTAATGTTTTAGAACTAGTATTGTAGGTAGTAAAATTATTGGTACCTTTTAAAGTTGATGATGCTTCAAGATAAATGCTGAGAATTGAGTTCTTGAACAATAGATATTTTGAATACAAAGTAAAACTTTTTTTACTATTGCCCCCACTTCCCAAATTAAAATGGCCTGTAGCATCTCCTGATAATAATCCAATAGAAAATATATGGTCTAGCATTAAGGAAGATGTAGATGAGAATAGAAAACAATATTCAAGCAAAGATCTTTGGAAAGCAATAAAAACTGCTGCAAGTAATATTAGAATCAAAACAATAGAAAAGTTAATAAAACCAATATTTGAAATGGTGTTACAGGCTATCAAATATCAAGGATATTAACATATAAAATGATTTATTCAGATGTATGGGATATTGTGTTAATCAAATATGCTTCTGTGGATTTGAATTTATTCATAAATGCAAGTTTGTTTCACTTTGTTTATTTGTACATTTTTATTAATGAGGGTAGATAAGCTGAATCTCATATTACTCATATAAATATATCCTGAAAATTTTACCAACTTTAGTTGGTTCATACAAAATTTATTCTGTAAACAATGACTTGAATAATAAAATCTAACAATGTACAATGCAAAATATTTTTCATGTCTTAACCTTTTGTGTATGCTGAATTTGTTTTCACAATCTTCCAAAATTTATCTTGGCCTTACTTTCATATCCTGTGTTATTGGTACCTTTAAAATTGATGAGTCACAGAAAATAAATGAAATCATAATTTTATTATTATCTTGCAGTATATTCACACTTTTTGTTTTTGAATTTCTTTATAGGCATCATAGCCTATGACAAAGCAAAAATGGCTGAAAAATGGTGGGCTGAAGCTCCAGATATTGTAAAAGAAGATTTTGGAAAATCTTCATTCCTTATTAAATCTAAAGCTACAGGTAAATTTTTGAACATTTTTTATTACATCAGATTAAAATGAAATATGAAATAGAATTTATATTAAAAAAAAATTTTCTTTTTGATATGCATTTAGACAGTGAGGGGAAATAAAACTACAACACCCTGAAGAGGGATATCACTGAGACCAGGTTTTGAATGGCCACTTTGTACAGGTACTTGTCAAGATTTTCTGCATTTTAAAGACAACAGTAGCAGAGAAGCATGGTGTCCACAGCACAAATCAGAGTAAATGTGGTCCCTAGAGTGACAATATAGACAATTGTTTACTTGCAGGGCTACAGACACGTGTTTAGCCAGGCTTCCGTTTATGCCACAACTCTCTCATGGATATCTCTAGAAATGTGAGACGATTGAATAATGCTGTTATTTTCAATAGTGACAGCAGGATTTGCCATCATGCAAGTGTGAAATTAGACCTGGGAAGTGATAATTTCCAGTGTTTATTTGCCTACAACACTTAGCATCATAATATGGGATGCCATAAATTAAAACTCTTGCTTTCTCTTGGTGTTTGTGAAGGAAAATGTTGAGCAGTGCCATATATATCCAGAATACTGGTCGATCTGTTCTACTACCATTTTGGCAACAAAAAGGCTATGTGCTATTCCAGCAAGATAAAGACCATTCATATGGATGTTACTCAACAGCCTCTACAAGATGTTAAATGACTTTCTATTAAAATTGTATAGGACATGATGAGACTATGCCTAACTTGTTCAGTTAGCCGGTCTATAACTTGCAGGATTGTGTCAAAATGATGCAAGAAGCATAGAACAATGTATTGCCAGATGGTATTTGCTATTTCTATGATCTTCCAAATACACTCATCTGTTAGGTCGGCTAACCAATCCTTGTTGCAGACACCTGCTCAGGCACATTTGTATTTGTTCAACTCCAACCAGTGATTTATACTGCAACTGTGCTGCCTAGATCTTAGTTTGAGAGAGAGACAGAGCATATGCATAATTTGGCATGATCAGCAGTTTTGAGCAGTTTGAATCATGATGACTTCTTACTTTGTTCTAGTACAACCATCAAGAGCTTCTAAACAGTTCTGTCTACCCAATTTCAAGCACAAAGTATGGTTTTCAGATACTTTTCAAAGGTGTCACATGTTGGGATTGCCTCCCCAGACCAATAGCATCAAGAAATCATCTTCCTGACAAATCGACCATAAGATTTGAACTTGGGCCTCATGGTTTGGAAAGCAAACATTCTAACCATTTGGCCATGCACTCATACAAGAGTACAATCCCATGTTAATATCCTACTAGGTTATCCAGTATATTCATATGGGGTCTGTGTATTGTTGAAACATTCCTTATTTTGGAACCTATACATATATTGATCTGTATGTGGGATTATTTACTGTAATCTACCTATATTACCTGTACATTTAATCTTGAGTAAATTCAAATATTATATTAATCGTTGTAATTTTATTTACCTCAGTGTATAATCACTATTCATAAATCAATTCAAGTTATAAGTATATAAGTGCTAAGTTTATCTGTTATATTAAAACTTATAAAGTCAATTTTTATATGTTTACACCAAAAATCTTAGAATCTCTGTCAGACTTTTTCATTACCATTTGAAGTGTGCATTTAAAAAAAAACAAAAAAGCTTCAACAATTCCTTGAGGAGCATGATTAAATTTATAATACAATTTCAATTATTTTGAATTGCCAGCAACTATATATTATTATTAATCAAGTAACTTTATACAATGTCTGTTAGAACAAGATTATTACTTGACTGTTGATTCAAGTTTTGGTTAAATTTGTTATTTTATACTTAAAACATAAACACCAACTTAGATAATTTTTGTAAACCAATTTGGAACCAGGTAATAATAGCAGTGCACCCATTAAACTTATTAGCAAAGGCTTTTCCGATAATCTTATCATTTCTCTATTTGTTGTTTGCATATTGTGTCTATCACAAAATATTGATTCTTAAGAAATGGTAATATTTTTATTATTGCAGATTCAGATGAAATGCTTTCCACAGATATCTCTCCTGTTATCAATGCTATGATTGATGGTCTGCTTTCTACTAATCCCAAACCTATCTACTACAAAGGATTCCTGGCACGTTCTCTTCCTTTTCTCTACTATCACTTACCAAGTCCTCTACGAGAACCTGTAATTGGTATTTTTACTGACTGGTTTGACTTCCAACCATCTTGTCTGCAAGATGTTGATTAACCTATCAACCTTTTCCAACAATTTTAACAGGAAATATTTTTGCACGTCTCAGCCAGTTTGCCATTGTGGTTATCATCCACAATAAAGCAATGATTTTTCAGACACTTCTGAATGGAGGAGTATTTAATGATTTCTTTTTCTAAGAAAATATTGTAACAGTGAATCAGGTCAGCCTGATAAAAGACTCCAACTTTGTTGTATGCGGTGCTGTGAGCACCAGGAGTTGCATCCACTTCCACAATAGGCTGTTGAGAGAAGACCTTCTACTTAGAGTAGGTGGCACTGACTATTTGCATATGAACAATACTTGGCAGTCATTAGTCAATAGTCAGTGTGAGTCCGGAACTGGGAGAGCTATATAACACCAGTTTTTTTCTCAGTCAAGAGTGGTGCTCTCAACATGTGAACGTGCAAAAACCAGACAAGTTGAACACAAATATACACATATATTTGCCTACTGGGGCATAGAAGTAAATTACTTCTGATTGCAGTAAATATTATTTATATATATATTATCATTTTCTATGTTTAAAAGATATTTATTTATAAACAAAGAAACGCATTATATTTTTCTATGAGAATTTTTTTTTTTTACTCTGCATGTAAATATGTAGAACCCAGTGGTTTAACAATTCATCTCAAAATTGATAATCAAATGAAACAAATGTTTACTACAAAAATTTTCTTCTTCAACCAAAAGATCCTTAGATGTGTGGTGCACCTAAAGTTGTAAAACCTGCCAACTAAAACATAATGTTCAAAAACAACTATGAATCATATAGCCACAATTTTATACTTAAAATTTTTTAACAAGATATTTTTTTTATATGATGAATCATTTTCTCAAAATAGTATTGGTGGAATTTTTTCTGAATTAATTTAGCACAGAAAAATTTTGAATGTTTGTTTAAGCAAGACTCCAGAATCAATTTCAAATATTCATCACTGATATTAAATGATTAAAAATGAGGAGATGAAATAAAAAAAACCCAAAAAACATGGCTTTTTGAATGGAGGTTAAAAAATTATACTATATAAAATATTTCATTTTCTAATTTTGACCTTCTTTTACTGATATTGAAAATATTTTACAATTTTTTTTATTTTGTAAATAAATATATATATATATATATATATATATATATATGTATTTGTAGACAAGTCATAATTATATTTATAAGCCTTTAAAAAGTAATGGTAATTTTTTTTTTCAATTGTACTTGGCAAATATTTTAAGATGAACATTTTGGAATTTGGGAAGTTCTGAAAATAAATGTATAAAAATGTTATCATGCACACACACATTTCTGCAGCCAAATTTAATGTAGGAAAGTAATGATGTGATTTGGGGGTTAATTTTTTTACTGAAATTTGATTTATTTATTTAAATAAAACATTTTTTTCTAATGACCATATAACCTATTATTTTACTTGAAGCAGTAAAAGATTGATTCAAATGAGAAGACGTTTTTACTCTTTTGCTGATGAAGACGTAATATTGCTCCAATAAAAATAATCTTTTGAGTTAATCATTTCTTTTACCAAATCATGTGAGTGTTAAAACACAAAAATAAGATAACTTGTTAGTAATGACTAGCAATAAAGACTAATGTATCATTTTGGGAGACAAAGAAATATAAAATATTTGCTAAAGACAAGAAAGCAAGTAAATTATTATATTTAAGTAGGTACCTCCACGAGATCACTAAAAAATGAGCATAGCATGAAGAAAAACGCCAAACGTGATGAAAACAAAATTTTATCGTCTAAATGTTCATCTTATTATTAAGAGGAAAGATCAAAGTATTTTGGGGGTATTTTTTTACATTTTTAATCGTTCCTAGCATGTCCAAAATTTTCATTAAAAATCTTGTTTTTTTGAGTCAGCAAAATTGACTATTTTTTCCCATTTTATAAAAAACTGAAAATCTCCCTTTGAAATTCTTTTAAATATCAATTATCATTTTTTAAAAACTTATTTTAAGAAAATCAGAAATTTATAATGTTTATTTAAAATATTTTGAACCTAGCTTAACTTAGCTTCTGTGCTGAAAAGATGTAATTTGAAAATAAAACAAAGCAGGTCATAAACTTTCGTGTCACTTGACAGGTGATGAATGACATTGACAGATTCCGTGAGGACAATTTGTTCTACGGAAGGAGAAAAGTGAAATTATTTACATTTAAGTGGACAATTTATTTGCCTCGTTATTTTTAAGGAAGACTTTCAGCACTCTAATTTTTTTTTTGTTTTTGTACTTAGCTTTCACCTTTACGATGCTTAATGGAAAATATATTACAAAGAAATTAAAATAAGACCGTTAAGAGTGAGATTAAATTTCATAAGAAAGGTATTTATTTTTAGGTACCTTTCTTATGAAATTTTATCAGAAGTGTACATAAAATACTATAATTTTATGTACATTTATTACATTTTACTGTGTTATTTGTATTTCCATTCATTTTATTATTAATTTTGATATTTCATTTATGGAAAAATGTCATAACTGAGATTAATATAAAAATAAGATCATATAAATTTCATAAGATGATACTGATACTTGTAGGTACCCTTCTCAGTTGAAATTGAAAAATAAAATTAACTTCTCCACACATGTTTCACAAAAGTAAAGGCCTTAACGGCGGAGAACAATGCTTAATTCAAATAACGCAAATTAATGGTATTCTGGTTGGTCTTCCGTACTTTATAATTACAGCCCAATTATAAACACAAAATTACATTTCTTAATTACTGCAGATCTTCTGATTAGTCAAAATGATACAATTTACAATGCACTAAAAAAAAGATCTATCTCATAAGGACACTTAGGAAAGCAGATGTGGCTTTTAACTAATTTTATAATATTTTAACTTAAATGTAAAAATCTATTATAATTAAAAAATAACAAATAATTGTATTAAAAATTCATTTTTCATCGAAAAATTTTGTTGCTTTCAGAAAATATTGTCCATATTCATAAAAACAAGTAAAAGCAAATAAAATCATTTGAAATTAAATAAAATCTTTCTTTTATTGAGTTTTGTATGTTACAATTCAGAGCTGATTTTCAGGTAGAGGGGGTCCAATTAAAAACAAAATTTGCATTCCTCAAAGCCTTGTGCTTTTAACTATTGTAATCACTAAACCTGACGCGATCGAATTTCTAGTGTTTTCATAAAATTAGTTATGGGGGGCATAATATTAAAAAAATATTTCTGCCATGACTTTAATAAAAAAAAAAAAAAAAAAAAATTTTTATAATTTTGATCATCTGTGAATAGTTTCTGAAAGTTTCGTTAACATCTGACAATTATTTTTGCAAGATTTTCTAAATTAATGTGTGTCACACAAAAAAAAAACATGCTAAAAATTGTATATGCTATTTTACTAGTTCCGGTGATACAAAGAGAAACAAGGTTTTTTTTAATCAAAATTTAGAATGTTCTAAAAAGAAGGAAAAATTAAAAAAATAAATAAAATAAACTTTGATCTTTCCTCTTAATAATAATATAAACATTTAGACGATAAAATTTTGTTTTCGTCAAAGACGTCTTTTTCATCATGCTATGCTCTTTTTTTAGCGCTCTCATGGAGGTACCTATATTTAAGTAAACATCACAAAGAGAAATATAAGTTGGGCAAAGTATATAAAAACTGATTTATCAACAGTAATTTTAGTGTGAAATTTACAGCCACACTTGTCCCAAAACATTACTATATCTCCTGTTGTTGTCTTCTAAGTTGTTGACTATTTCTATGAAGGATTCAGCCTCAAGTCCAACCATCAGGTTGCCTGTAAGCAAAAATAGTTTGTTGTATATCACTGTTTACAGTATTTTTAAGCTCTTAAATTTTTTAGATATGAGAAAACAAAATTCAGGATTTGCTGATTATCAACTTTTGTTTTGTAATTCATGTTGTATCATTTAAATTGAAGAAAATATTAATCACATCATAGAAATTTGATGAAAATGAACAAGTTTCTTGTACTGCACAATTAAAAATCTAATATCGCTTACCAGCAGAAAAAATATTAGATTTTTTAAGAACATGAATGTAGAACTAAGTCTGATATTTTAAAATTATGTACAATATAACTAAGCCTTTATTAGTACATTCCAAATAGTAGAAATTAGTCACTTTTATAACTAACTTTTAAAATAACATGTCTTAATAAGTAGTGCATTTTTTTTTTTAATCAATTCACCCCAAGCAAGGTGATAATGCCACTAAGACAAGGGACTACAAAGAGTGAAAGAGAATGAAAAGACATTGGAAGGAACTGGAAATACAATTTTAAACAGGATAAAAAAAACGTTTAAACTTCTACTCCTGTTCAAATGACTAGGGAGTAGTATGAACCAGATGATAGGCGAACATTGAGGAGAAAATAAATAGTAAATAAAATTTCAGAATTTAGGTGGAGATGTTAGAAGTAGAGAGTTGAAGTAGACTTTAGAAGAAACTGGAAACCCAATCCTAAACAGGAAAAAAAAAAAGAAAGGGGGGGATAAACCTCTACTCCTGTTCAAGAAACTGGGAAGGAGTGTGAATTGGACAAGCCTTTGATATTTTTAGTGACAAATTTCTTGTCAGCCTTTTCAAAAATTTACAGATGATGAATTCATTGCACCTATTAAGCTTTAATGGCAAACTTGAACCTTTGTGCCTGCAAAAAAAAAAAGTGTCAAAAGGGCAGTTTTCCCATTGACACCGCTATTATTTTAACTATCTTTATTCCTTGGTAATGTTTATTGTTTTAAAAAATTATGATTAGAATTTTAATAAAACTAAACATATGAAAGGAAATTTATACATTTTCTTTGTTCTTAAGAATTGACAACAAAAATAATTATTACTATTAAAACTATTAGATTGTTTATTTACACTGTTTATTGTAATGGTTGGCTAATTGCCCATTGATTTGAACTTTATAAAATTGTAAATAATATGGTTTTCTTTATAGTTGATTCACATATTTTAATAATTTAGTAAATGT